GTGGGATTTTCAGCCTCTCTTGTATATGCATTTCTGTCAATACAAGTCCCAGATGTTGCACTTCAAACAGTTCTATGTACAGGAGAGAGCTGACATTTAAAAGCTCTACAGGACAGCAGTTCCTGAGTAGAAAGATTTGCCTAAAGTCTGTCTCTCTGTTAGCTCTAGGCCTTTCTAGAAGGCAAATCATGTTTAAATTACTTGTTGAAAATCAGTCTCCACAAAGCGAGGGCAGGTGAGGAGCAGCTTGTGTCCCTGGTTGAGGGAGTGGGGAAGGATATGAGCATGTTACAACTAGAATCCCTCACAGCCCCTTGGGGTGGGTGATCTGTGCTTCAGCCTCACCTGATCAGCATTTTTACCTCATTTTGAATATCTGGTTATCAATGCTCCACACAATGTACAGGATGCACCTCAGCACTGTTACAACAAATTGTTGTAGATCACCTCACTGAGTAAACACTGTGATCTGCATCATGGATTCAGCATGCAGAGAGCAACACTCTTGGTGACCCAGACCTACTCACTCTCCCCAACTCCCTGACAGGAGGGTGTAACCAGGTGGGGTCAGGCTCTGCTTCCAGGGAACAAGTAATAGGATGAGAGGAAATGGCCTCAAACTGCACCAGGGGAAGGTTTAGATTGGATAACATGGAAAACTTCTTCCCCAAAAGGCTTGCCCAGCCCTGGCACAGCTGCCCAGGGCAGTGGTGGAGTCACCATCCCTGCAGGGATTTAAAAGCCTTGTAGATGTGGCACTTGGGGCCATGGTTACTGGTGGTCTTGGCAGTGCTGGGGAATGGTTGGAAGTGATCTTAAAGGCCTTTTCCAACCCAAATGATTCAAAATAAAGCAGCTTTGAATTCTGACAGCTCCTGCCTCTGAGGGCCACATTTTGCCTTACCTTATGCTCACTTGTGCCCTTTATGGGGACTCACAGGATCCAAGCCAAGATCCTGGGTCTGTAAGCCAAGAAGAATGAATGGTTTCACCCTGGGGCATCAAACAGCTTTGTAAGGTGGGTGGTGTCTCTCCTGGCAGCACAGAGCTCTCACTGCCGATCTGGTTGTGCTTTCCAGCAGTACAATTACCTCCACGAGTTCCGGGAGAACATGTCTGCGCACCTGGCAGCCAAGGACACGGCGCTGCGGTCCCTGTCGCCATAGCTGCTACTGCCAGGGTACAGCTTTGCCTCTCTGGCACACACCTGGACAAGACACCTCTCACCTGACCTTCAGTTCCTCAGCACTGCTGCCTGTATGACACCAGCTGTTCCCTTCTAATACGTGTGTAAAATAGTGGGGTGGGGAAGGAAATCCTGCAGGATGTGCAGCATATTCCTCTTTGGTGACTTCAATACACAGTCTTAAAAATGCAAGTGTGGTTGTGTTCATTGCTGTTCTGCTGATGGGCTGGTTTTTCAGGGATAGTCATGCTGGGATAATGGAGCTGGATCAAAAGAACATCACTAGAGCTGTTTGCAAACACCCTCAGCTCTGGGAGTTTCACTGTGGTTACAGTGGAAACTGTCACTACAAGGGGCAGCCTGTTTAATGCAAAGTGGAAGAACCTATTCCTCTGCATCTTCCTTCAGCCCAGTGTTCTCCCTAAAGCTTTCAGGGGCATTAGTTAGGGTGTGTGCCCAGAAGGAAGGGGTGGGGATACTGCCAGAAGGCACAAAGGGGAATTAACTGGGTGTACTGGGGCTCATTCCTGAAAAGCCTAGAAAGCCTTTTGCTTGATGGAAAGCAAAGGCAAGTCAGCTGGAGTACTCAGCCCTTATAAGGTACTAAGAACTCACTCTAAAATGTCACAGTTGCACTTGGAGTGTTCAGGGGTGTTTAGGAATGAGTCTCCTCATTCCAAAAGCAGGAGGTGTTATGCCAAAGATCTGTGACAAAGCAGCAGGTGGGTTTTTAGGTGACTGTGGCAGGAAGAGACACTGCTGTAGCTGCGTGGGTGAGCTGCTGGCACAGCCCTGCTGCCTGCTAACAGCAGAGTAAACAAACAATCAGCTGTGGGCTGGAGAGGCTCTCACAGAACATTGCTCCAGCAGTCCCCATCCCTCCTGTTTCACTCTATCCATTCACAAAGGGAAGATGAACAGGCTCCAGGTGGATTTTGATACATTTCAGTAACTTCTCGAGTCAGTTGTGACATGAGGCTCTTCCACAGCACTGGTGGCTCTGGGCTGCAGTAGAACTCATTGCTGTGCTGTTTAAATTTCATCTCTTGACATGTTTGAACCCAAAAACTTCAGTGCACATTTTAAGGTGATTTCTACAGCTTAATTAGCTTTCCCTGCCATTCCTTTCTCCATTCCTACAGTGGACACAGAAGCTCTTCCAGTTGCCACAGCATGGAGTCATTTACAGAAAATACTCTGCTCCAAACATGCATCAATACTTAATCCTTGCAACTGCTGCTGTTCAGATATTAAGTATTTATCATATGACTCACCAGGAAACTTACTGAGAGGGAGAAAAATGTCCTTTATTTTCTCCACAATCCTTTGCCTCCTGGAACTCCAGCAATAAATACCATCGGGTCCAGGTTCTGGATACCATAATGGATTAACAAATACACAAACACAACAAAGGGTTAAACAGTTTTGCTTACACAGGCTGAAGTCATCTTTTACTGCAGCCTCTGGAGGAGCTAAGCAGCAGGAAAATAAAAATGATGCAACAGCAACAATATTCCTCGGTTTCCAAAAAAGCCTTTCAAAAATTCTTCTGTTAAAAATTAGGATTGGACAAGGAAGAAAAATAATCATGGAACGCTGAAAGCTTGAGCAGTCAGGGCATGGGATCTAGTCAATAAATGCAAGGAAACGTGAGGAAAACAATTTTATACACAGAGCAATAAGCTGTCAGGACTGTTATCAGTTAGGAAAGAGAGTTGGAAGTTATCACAACCTGAATTCTATTACCCCCAGTACATTATAGAAATGAGAAGAGGAATGCAGAGCAGAGAGGAAGAACCTGCCACTCTGCATCCCCTGGGCACTCAAGTCTTGTGACAATAGCTTAGAAAAGGGGAATCTGCAGAGGAGAAAGGAAATTCCCAAAGCTCCCAAAGGACTTCCAGTCAGGGAGACATTAAACAGACTTCTCTGCATGGACAGATGACATGAAGGTCTGTTCACACATGCCCAGCATAAAAAGGTGGAATTGGGGAAATTTTCAATTATGTCCTAAAAAAAATAAGAGTTTAGGGGCACCAAGTAAAATCTGATAGAACTGTTAAAAAATTGTTTTTACACTCTGAGTAACTCTCTGTCTCAGGGCTACCCAGAGCAGCTGTGGCTGCCCCATCCCTGGCAGTGTTCCAGGCCAGGTTGGATGGGACTTGGAGCAGCCTGGGCTGGTGGAAGGTGTCCCTGCCCAGGGCAGGGGTGGAATGAGGTGAGCTTTAAGGTCCTTCCAACCCAAACCATCCTGGGATTCTATACCTTCCATACTTGGTTATAACAGGGCTCAAAAAGCAACTGACTTGATAGAAGAAAAGCCATTTGGGGATGTTTAAGGTGTCAGAGCTCTCTCCAGACACCAAATTTCCACACTCTCTCACTTCCCAGGCAGATGTGTTCCAACCTCTGCCCTGTCCCACATTCCTTTTCCTCAGCTGTTGCCACTGCCCAACACACCAACACTGGAACATCTGGATTTCTGGTGGAATCCAGTGCAGCCACTCACACAACTTTTATTGCCTCTAACACCCAAGAGCCCCAAAGTGAACAAATACACAGTTTGTACAAAACCAAGTTTTACTAGAACTGGCAAACTCTGCATTATTCTCCAGCACAGGTAAATGAAAAAGATTCCTAATTACCATTTGTAAGTGAAGCAGCTGTTCACAGTCACAATTTACAATGCAGTATTTATCTGAAACATCTTCCCCTGCCCCATCTACTAGTTAACTCCATGGAAAAAAAAGCAGGAAATGAGAGCTTCCCTTTTCCAGACATAACATGATTCCGTGTTCTGTTTTTAAAGGGGATGCAATTATCCACTGTGAAACTGACAGATGAGCACAGTGAGGATCTGTCCAATTCCAAAACAAAACAAGGCACCGGATCAAAAGAGAGTGTGGCTGAATTTGAGATTTGTTTTTTATTATCCTTTATTGCACTAAGGAACAGCAGGGCAGTTTCACGATCTCACTTTCTGCTTTGAAAAAGTCTGTAGGATTACTCTAGAACCCGAGTATTTTCAGCATTGGACTTGATAAATGTTGGAGGTTTGTCCATTTGTTAATGAGATAACACAGACATTTTAAAAATAAATCATCATTCAAATTCATTCCTTCATGGACAATTCAGCTTCTCCTACCACAGTGGCACAGGCTCGAGATTAAAGCAGGGTTAATGTTTGGAGAAGGCTCTGGACATGCACACACAGGGAAAGATTAACCAGAGAGAAACAAAATAAACCAAAACAGAACTCCTATTTTTGCAGATGTATCCATGAATTAATTTCTTAAGACCAAGGTCACCTATGGGTAAAACACACAGCATTCCAGTCCCTCCCAAGCCCTCGGAGCTACAGCTGATTTGGAGTTAAGAGTGGGATACACAAGTCCAAGTGAGCCACTACAAAGCCCAGCCTAAAGCAAATCCCTAGTGTCCTAAGGCTAGTAGTAACCAACACCTACTCGAAGGTTATGGCTGTTCCTTATGGAGTGCAAAGTCAAAACTTTTCTAAACCCAGACATCCTTAATTCACATGTAATTCCTTAATTTCAGCATCCCAGGAAAATATAAGAAAAACAGTCTTTCCACAGGTATAAAATGTGGAAGTGTTTAAAACCAGGGGAGTCATTGTTTGCTAACGCGATTGTGATCGGCAGGTTCCAATTCAGACTTGGTCAGAGGTTCTCGTTGTAAAGAATCCAATGGTTTGTGTGGCTTTTGCATGCACTTAACTGGAACAAAGCTTGCTGAGTGTCTTCTTAAGAGCTCACCAGAACATAAATCATGCTGCAAAAGAAGATAAAAATATTAAGATGCATCATTTTCACACCGGAATTTCACACAGATTATCCTGAGCTGGAAGGGACCCTCAGGGATCAGAGTCCAACTCCAGGACACCCCAACAATGCACCCTGTGCCTGAGAGCATTGGCCAAACACTCCCTGAGCTCTGACAGCCTTGGGACTGTGACCACTGCCCTGGGGAGCTGGGGAGAACCTTCTCCTGATATCCAACCTAAACCTCCCCCTAAATTTTGATGAGTGTCATACATTTAAATATACAGTTGTATATTCTAAGGAACAAATCCAAGTGAAATATGTGGACTGTGACTGGGGATTTGACATAATGACTCTTCTCCTGACTTCAACAAAAATCACATTTGCATCAAATACCTACTTTTATCTAAGAAGTTCATGTTTCAGCTTCTTAATGAAAACACTCTGGGGTTTATTGTATTATGCTTAAAAGCAAAGCTTGGAGCTTTCCAGTCTCCAGTCATGGAATACAGATTCAAAATAGTAATCCTGACCCAATTAAGATTTATGTTTTCAAACAGAATCAATGGTGATTATGGATTCATGTTCAGGAAAGTTGGAACTGTGTAATTATGATGTCATAGAATCCCAGAATGGTTTGGGTTGGAAGAGACTTTAAAGCCCATCCAGTTCCACCCCCTGCCATGGGCAGGGACACCTTCCACCAGCCCAGGCTGCTCCAAGCTCCATCCAACCTGGCCTGGAACACTCCCAGGGATGGAGCAGCCACAGCTGCTCTGGGCAACCTGTGCCAGTGCCTCAGCACCCTCACAGCCAAGAATATCTTCCCAATATCCCATCTGTCCCTGCCCTCTGGCAGTGTGAAACCACTCCCCCTTATCACTCCATGCCCTTGTCCAAAGTCCCTCTCCAGCTCTCCTGCAGGATCCCTGCCGGCACTGCAAGGAATATATCCCTATGTACAATATTTCTCTGGTGCACTGAGCCAAAATTTCAGACTGAAGGAAAAAACCACTTACCCATATAGGTAGTAAAAAAAGGATAGAAGGTAGAATGCTAATTTGCACCATCCTTCCTTCTGGCAATAGGCTAAAATATCAGCATTCATGATGGTCGTGGGATCGTAGAGCCCTGGGCCACTCATCACGGGTCTGCTCATGTACCTGCAAGGGAGGCACAGTCAGGGGTGGGAGATGGTGATGGGAAACGTTGGTTCCTGCTCCCCACCCACCAAGGAACACCAGAACTGAGACAAGGAATTGCAGCCCTTACAGCAAAGTCCATCAGCTCCATGTAGGAGCTGGGGAACTGGGAGAGGAGCACAGAGCTCTGAGCTAGACATGCCTGTGGAAGGGCTTTCACACACAGTGCTTACCTCAGCCTTAAACCATGCTGAGTTCTGCTACACCCAAAGGAAATGGGAAACACTTCTAAAGAAATGAAAAGTAGGATTCCTTAGGGAAAAGTTGGAAAAGCTGGGGAAGAGTGTATAACACCACAAAACCTATAGCCTCTACTCACTGCTAACACTTGTGCTGGCTGCTGGGTTGGGTTTCAGTCAGAGCAGCTCCCTGCACAGGACTCACAGCAGCACCAGCAGAGGTGGTGCCTGTGTGTCATGGCAGGAGGAGAGCAGGATTGCCACTTCCACTGGCATTCCACACTGGGAATTGTCTCAGCACACCTTTGACACATCAGTGACTTGAACACACACAACACAACTCGGTTCTTGCACAGCACAAGAGAATAAGAAATAGAAGAAACCCCCAAGAAAGCCAAGTGATGGTTCTTATTGTACAGCCATAAACTTTCTCAGTGCTGCATGAGAAAACATCTTTGCCCATGACACAGAACACTGGACAGGACGCACAGCAACAGGACAATGAGTAACAATTCACTGAGCACAGAGATACCAAGATTACCTCCAAATATGATAAGCCAACAAGGGCATATTGAGACCCAGTGTGAGCCACTCTGCTGCACAGAGAAACATGACACAGAAGAATGCATGGATGAGGTACTCTGGAAGTACAAGCTGGAAAAGAAAAAGATGAGTTAGAAGTTTTGATTACACAAAACCAAACGTGTGGTGTTTCATCTACTTTGGAGTTGAGCTATTGCTTTTAAGTATCATTTAGAACTAACACTAACAAGACTGTGAACGTGAAAGCAGCAACCAGCAGGATGTGCCTTGCTGTTTTCACAGGGTATTCATGAACCAAGTAGAAAAATTTGTCAGATTAAATGCTCAGATCAGTATTTTTAATTGCTTCTACAAAATTAACAGATTCCACACTTTATACATGACCCTCAGAAGAGACTGAGATATTTCTGCTCATGCAACAGAGAAATATCAGTAGGAAACATGCTCCATTGAACAGCTTATAGGCAAAAAGATACTTGTGTTTCCCTGTTTCACAGCTTTGTTTTGGTATTCACACCCCCAGAACTTGTCAAATTCCCTGTACTGCCAAGATGTGACACCCCAGGCAGAGCTTTAACCAGCAGTGGTCACACACAGGGGTCTGCACAGAGCAGCTACGCACAGACAGCTTGGGGGAGTTCAGCAGTTTTTCCTCACAGGTCCCCCCTGGGCATGCTTTACAGCATCATGCTTCCAGCAGAAGCCCACAGAGCTCATCATCAGTTAACTATGGAATCACAGAAAGCATGAAATGCTGGAGATATTAGTGTTGTTAATAGGAATAACATGGAGAGGTACAGAGAGTAAAGGCATGCAGAGAGCTGCAAAATCTCACACCCACCACAGGGGTAAAGTTCTCTACAAGTCACCCCAAAGTGATGTTATTTACTGCTTTATCACAATTCAGAAGGAATCATAGAATCACAGAGTGGTTTGGGTTGGAAGGACCTTAAGGCTCATTCAGTTCCCCCCCCTGCCATGGGCAGGGACACCTTCCACCAGCCCAGGTTGCTCCAAGCCCCATCCAACCTGGCCTGGAACATTCCCAGGGATGGAGCAGTCACAGCTTCTCTGGGCAACCTGTGCCAGTGCCTCACACTGGCACAGGTTGGGAAGAATTCTTTGGGAAGAATTTCTCTCCAAAATCCCACTGAGCCTTGCCCTCTGTCAGTGGGAAGCCATTCCCTGTGTCCTGTCCCTCCAGGCCCTTGTCCTAACTCCCTCTGCAGCTCTCTTGGGAGCCCCTTTAGGCACTGGAAGGGGCTCTAAGGTCTCCCTGGAGCCTTCTCCAGGCTGAACACCCTCAGCTCTCCCAGCCTGGCTCCATAGGACAAGCAGCAGATGTGAAAGCTTCTGCTTTGTCAGCTCAGGACCACTAAAATTCTCCTGATGGAAAACACTCCATGTCTACTCAAAGATTTAAAATGTCCACAGGTACACACACGAACACCACACTCTCCCCCTCTGTTTGTGCAACATGCCTAACATTGCTCAGCCTGACTAGATGGACATTTCAGTGTTTTTCAGTCTTCTTTTAAAGCCCCAAAATATCTCCCTAGAAATCTAAAAGCTACCAACAAACACTGTCACCACCTACTCTGCTATACCACTCTGCTTCTCCCAGTGAAGAATAAACACAGCAAACTTGCATCAACACCACCAAAATTCATCTGTGGTACACGAAATGTTTCAAGTAAATATTTTCACCCAGATCCTTCTTTGCATACTTACCATTTACACATGGCAATTATTTATAGCAAAACACCAACCACCCTGCCCAACTCAATGCACTTGGCAGCCTGCTGGGACAGACTTACCAGGCCTGAAAAATCTGTGTTTATTTACCTACACATCTCAAAATATGGGTTTATTTTTCCTTTTCTCTTGTTTATTATACCCTACTCCCACTCTGGAATACCTGCCTCTTTCAAAGCTCCCACACTCCATCCTCCCTGCCTGTCCTGAAGGAAAATTAATTACATCATGTTCTCCCATATTTATCACAGAAACGAGGGAGGATGAATCTGGTTGCTGAGAAAAGATCTGACTATAACAGGAGCAGGGAAGAGAAGGAACAAGCAGTGTACTAAGCAGTTACTATTTTGAGCTAATCTTTCTCCTGAGGTGTCTCAATTCCTACCAGGATTTTCGATTCCTTGTACAGGAAAACATTGTCCAGCATCATTTATTTACCAGATCCCCTCAAAAGTTTGGATCTGAACTACACTTTTAGGAGCTAATCTACTTCCACAGGAGCAGCAAATCTGAAACTGTTTCAGACTCCCAGTTCACAAAGTTGCTGTGTGAAGGACTCTCCATGCACGCTGGGTTAGCAGGAGGTTAATACTTGGTTAGACATGCACATTGTAACACTACAAAGGTTGCAGGAAGATCATAATGCATCGATGTCATGAGAATTTGCCTCTCCCCATACTGCAGCAGAAATGACTAGAACAGACCAAGCAAGGGAAACTGTTAGATGCACAACTGTGTGAGCAGCAAACCTCCTCCCCGAGCTGCAGCCCTGCCTGGCACCTCTGCTCCTCCCCACCCTTCCCCACACTCTCTGTTTGTGTGTTCAGTGTCTGACATGCTCTTATTTCCTCCCCAATCACTGTCAATTCATTTTTGATTTGCATATTTTCCTTAAAACGCACTAAAGCTACACTCCAGGCCACGCTGCTGTGCTGCCCCTGCCTCCTCCCTCAGCCTGGGCACATGCACAAAGGAAAATCCATGAGAAAGGCACAAAAAAAAAATCAAGCTGTGTGTGCTTTAACCAGCCTCTCTTCTGCTGCTGGTGTGTTGGAAATGCAAACTGTGTGCCTCAGATTCTTTTCCTAAGGAAGGAGTGTCAGAGTTGCATCCAAGGGAGGACACCAGGACACAGCCCTGATCCTGGATAAATCACATAAAAATAACAGGTGAAGATCATCCCTATCACCTTCTACCCACCCAAATCCTCAAAAGAAGATCCAAATTGGCTTGGTCAATGTTTAAAAAAACAACTGTTCTCCCATAATCTCAGAGTTCAGCAAATCAGGCTTGAAAAAGACAATCTATTTCTGCCTGAAGTTCCTTTCTGACGCCTACCAGGCATGTAACAGTTTTCCCCACATCACTGGGTTAAAGCAAGCAGAGTTGTTTTTGCACAAGATATGGAGATCCATGAGGTTGTTACAAACCCCAACAAACAGATAAACAAGCGGATGAACAGGCAGACTCAACAAAAAGAAACAGCTGAGGAGTATTACAGATGTTCCTAAGGAAATGAAGGGGAAGTGGCATCAAAAAACATGAAACTGAGAAGCAGTACACACCTTCAATGCAATTTTGACTCTTTTAATCTTTTTGACCTTTTCAACTGTCTTTGTGCCGAAAAATGTGGAAAGCAGATTGAAAGAATGTTAGTATGACAGCTGACAAGATCACCAGCAGATTAATAACAGTCAGAATATTCAACTTCAAGGTAAAGAATCACATAAAGAACTTCCCTAGAACTTGGCTTGTCAACCCAAGATGCAATTCTATTGCCTAGAGTTGATTGCATCAAGATAACACCAAAAATAATCACTTTACATACATTTACTGAACAAAACAAAAGGGTTAGGGTGTTACTTACAGGATTGAGTGTGTTACATTGGTCTATGGGGTTCTTGTAATCAGTCTTCAGTTCATCAAATGCTATAATCTGGGGGGGGGAAACAGAAAGAAACAGTTGTGATTCCTCAGGCCAGGAGCAAACAGCGCGGTTTATCCATGAAAAGTACCATTCTGGCACAGAGCCACAAGGTTCAGCTGCTGCCACTGTGTTCAGGGGCATCTCTCCTGAGTGCTAACATCACAAACCCACATCCCCTTTGTCCTGTCACTCCAGGCCTTTATGCAAAGTCCCTCTCCAGCTCTCTTGGAGCCCCTTTAAGCACTGGAAAGGGTTTAAGGTCACAGAATCCCAGTATGATTTGGTTGAAAAGGACCTTAAAGCCCATCTTGTTCCACCCCCTGCCATGGGCAGGGTCACCTTCCTAAGACTCATGTGGAATAGATTTTACAAACCACAAAGCAGATTCTTCAGGCATGCAGAGACCTCTGACTCCTCTATCTTTTTACCCCCACACCAGCAACAAGTTTTCATGTTCCTTTCCTCAGTTTCTATCCCAACTCACTGTGAAGACCCCAAGCCTCACAAGGAAGTCTCCTGGTGACAGCAGGAACCTGGCACAGGGATCCTTCATCAAGAAGAAGCAACAGCAAGCTCAAAAGCAAACAGATATTTTGCCTCACAGAATAAATCAGGTTGGAAAAGACCTCTCAGATCATCCAGTCCAATCCATGACCTAACACCACCATGTGAACCAGACCATGTCACTGTGTGCCATGCCCAGTGTCTCCTTCAACTCATTGTCTAAGTAAATGCTGAGCCCACATATATGCCCAAAAGCTTTATCCATAAAGAAAAACAAACAGATATACTTCACTTTTTCATGCCATAAAAACGAAGCAGCATGAAGCACAAAGCCACTTCTATAGACTGTCCTGCCAAGTCTTACATCCTCCCCTGGAACAGCATCTCGCAGGGATCCCAGGGAGGTTCCTATTCAGCTGCTCTCCCTGTGTCAGGCTCACGAACGAAAACACAGGATCCCAAAGTGGTTTGGGTTGGAAGGG